CGCCTGCCCCAGCCTGGTCTGTCGGCCTGGGACACACAGCAGAAGGGAGGAAAGACAAGGTTGGCTGTAGCTGGGGCGGCTCCTACTGCTCACTACTCTAGCTGCCCTTCCCCATTCCCAGGGAAAACATAAGACAAGAGACACCTGGAGATGCCACTTGCCGGCTGCCACTGGAGTTGTGCCCGGCCTGTGTGTTGTGTGCTTTCTGCCCTCTGCCCTTCACCTGGCTCTCTAGAGGGCTTATCAAGGATCCTGGGAAACTTTAGAGTCCTCATTGTTTGGGAGCCAGTCCTAATCCCAGAGGCAATTTAAAGTTTGCTGGGAGGGTTCCCAGGAGTTTCAGGCCTGTGTTCCACAAATCCAATTAGACAGCAGCAGACAGGCCTGTGTGAATCGGAACCCTCACTGTAAAGGAATGTTCCTTAGATAAGGAAGACCCTGCCCTGTGCCCGGTGCTTGCTGGCCATCCTGGGAATGGGGAATAACAAAGGCCCAGCTGTGCTTTGGCCACAAGAGGATGATGGTCCCCATAGCTGAGACAGGCTCCCTGGTCATCCAACGCTCCCAAGCAGCTGTTTATAGTAGCATTAGAAACTGAGGGTTGTTTTGTCCCAGTGTCCCCACCTAGCCTCCTGCTTGGGGCAGGCCCTGGGGTAGCTACCAAGGATTTGGGGGTAGAAAAGAAGCCCTTCCCACAGTCAAGGAATATGTAAGTAAGGGCACAGGAAGGGCTTGAATTCACTGATGGACACTCCCATCAGCAGTTGGTGTCTTCTCTGGAGAACTGTGGAAGTGTTTTACTAGCCCCCCATTTAGCTAACTTTACCCATCTCCTCCACCACATGGGGGCTCAGCATCCACGTCAGGTTGCTGGCTGGGCGGTGTATATGTCCCTCCGAGCTTCGAGCAGCACAAAGAGGCCTCCTCAAGCCAAAGGACCATCCTGACGTTATCTCAATTGAACTTAAACTATGCACACTGGAGCTGGGGAGATGGTTTAGTCTATGATGTTCTTGTCTTGCAAGCAACAAGGCCTGCAGAGGTGTGCACCACCATGCCCCTGCCTCCTCAGGGCTAGGCTCACAGGTGTGAACCACCATGACCACCTCCTCAGGGCTGGCCTCACAGGTGTGCACCACCATGCCCACCTCCTCAGGGCTGGCCTCACAGGTGTGAACCACCATGCCCCCACCTCCTCAGGGCTGGCCTCACAGGTGTGCACCACCATGCCCCAGGTTACTGGTACACCTTTTTTGGAGAAATATTCAATCAAATCATTTGTTCATTTTTAATGGAACCTTAGAGACCCTAAGACTGAATTTCTTTTTTTATTCTTTAAGATTTTTATCTGTTCATAATTTTATACATGAACACAATGTATTAAAATGATATCTAAGCCTTGGGCTCCCCAGATCAGTTGCTCCGGGATTCCCTGTACCACATATCTTCCCAATTTAACCTCCTCCTCCTCCTCTTCCTTCTTATTCTTCTTCTATAACCACCGGAATCTAATTAGTGCTGTGTATATGCCGTGGGTGGAGGGACCTTAGGAAACGCACCACGAGCCACATGCCTGAAGGAAATGATTCTCACTTCAGCGGTCACCGACAGCCATTAGGTCCTCATGCCAGAATATAGACTGATTTGTTTTTGGTGCTGTGAGCTGGAGAGCTCAACAGCTCTGTCATGTCCAGAATACACGATTTGTATCAATCTTTCCAGACCTCTGGCTCTTACAACCTTTCCACCCCACTCTTCCCTGATGTTCTCTGAGCCTTGATGTTGCTGGTGGGTGGGGGAGGGCTTTGTTGTGGTACCACGGACAGCTCAAGGCAAGTTCTCCATAGTTCTTTACTCTCTGAACTTTAACCAGACGTGAGTACTGCATAAACCACCATCAGATCCATAAAAACATTGAGTTAGTTTTTATTGAAATATTGAAATATTTATATTCGAATTACACAAAACTATGTAAAAGTGGACAGTTTGGGGACATACAGCACATTCACAATGTGGCGCAAATCCCACCTGTGTCCAGCTCGAGACATTTTCATCTGCCCCAAACAAATGTCACATCCCCAATCAGTTCTCCTTCCTCCTCATCCCTGGTCCCTGAGAACTATTGATTTGCATTCTGATTTTGTCACATTCACTGAGATCCCACTGGACTGAACCAACTCTCTCAACTGAGCCCATGTCAAATGTGAGGGCGATGCGGAGTTACACTAGAGAACTGTGTGCAGAGGAGAGATTTGAACCATTGCTACAAGCGACCACACATATGTGTAGAATAAAGGCATGTTTTCTCTCTAGGACATGTGAGCATTTTGAAATAAGTACTACTTTTAGCAAAGCCTACTTCCCCTTTAACTATGTGGTACAAAGGGGCAAAACCTTCCTAAATGGGTACCATTGCTTCAAAGTCCCCATCTGGGCTTCATTTGTGATGAATGGGAAACCATACTGGGGTGGGGTGGGGAGCCAATCACACACCTCCTCTGGGATTTGCTAATTTGGAACCCTCTATCTATGAGTTATAGTTATAAATAAGGCTGAAGTAATATTCAGTCCCTTTTGCCAGCCTTATAGAAGAAGACAATTTGAAATAAGGAATTGGGATAGAAAGCCTAAAATGAAGTATTAGATTTGCAGCAAGGATGAACCTGGATGCCATGAAGTAAAATAACCAGGTAGGAAAGGCAAACACTGCTCTTCCATGTGTATAGACCTCAAGTCCATAGGAACAGCACATCCGTTCCTTCTCTTGTTGCTATAGCAAACACCTGACAGAAGCATCCCAAGGGAGGAGAATTGTGCTTTGGTTCACAGTTCACTGGGTCCATCGTGGCAGGAGACAAAGGTTTAGAGCAGCTAGGTGGCAGCAGAGCCTGAGGCAGTTCTCACATCTTAGCAGACCAGGAAGCAGAATTTAGACCAGAGCCAGAAGCAGCAATCACCTCAAGCCCCATTCCCAGGACCCACTCTTGATAGCTAGGTGACAGTCCCAAAGACTCCACAATCTCCCAGAATGCAACTGTTCAGACACACGGGCCTGTGGGACACATACATTCAAACCCCAACAGAGTAGTATAATGACCGGAGGTGGCCGAGAAAGGAGGAAGTGTTGATCAAAAGATACAAGCTTTCCACTCGATGAGACAAATGCGTTTGTTTCTCTACAGCACATTACGGTGACCACAGTTAATGACAATGTATCATATACCTGAAAGGTGCTTAAACAGTTCAATGTAGCCATTCTGCAATGCAGAGAGATATCATGTTGAGCAACATGAGTATACAGGAATTTGTCAATTAAATTTTAAATAGGATTACTCCTTGTTAGGTCTCTTGTAGAGAATTTAGATAAATCATTTCTCCTATAATGAGGAGGCGGCGGCGGCGGCAGAGGATCCCTGTGCAGCTCTCATTTTATGGCCCTGTCTATTGTAGGCCAGCATCTCTAACTTCCCACTGTTTGTCACACAAATTAACGAGATTACAATTATAGTTGGGCGTCACGATGCATGCCCATTAGCCTAGCACCCAGGATGTAGAGGCAGGAAGATGGAGAGGTCAGGACAGTCTGGGCTATATAACAAGACTCTGTCTCTAATCAAAGAAAATAACACAAAATAAAATAACGAATAGGGACTGGCACGATGGCTCAGTGGGTAAAGGTACCTGCTTACAGGAATCCTCGGTGAGGAGGAGGAAGGAAGCTGGCATCAGAGTTTTTCAAGCATCTTTGTCACCTTGAGAACATATGCACCATTGCCCATGATGCCACAGGAGAGGTGCGCAGAGCTCTCACAACACTGTGTGGATTCAGCTTGACTAGGGCTTGACCATTTCTCTAAAGGCTGAGGAGATGAAGCTCTGAAGCCCTGTAACTGGGGACCCTCAGCCCACAGACCACGCAGGCTCAAGGCAGAGACAGCTTTACTTTCTTGGAGGCAAATCTTTCACCCATCTGAGCCCTCACTTAAGTCCAATATAGTAAGGATGTCCCCACACGCAACACATGTCTTCAAGCAAGGGGAACACAAGAAAGTTAAAAGGCAGCGTTGGGCAAAGGCATCTGGGTGTCTGTCCTAAGAGTGCCTAGGTGGGCACACTTTTCAACTCAGAACTGAGGGAGCAGAGGCAAGTGGACCTCTGTGTATGATGGGCCAGCCAGGGCTGTATCACAAGACTGTCTTTAAAAAATATTGAAAGGATTTAATGCAGTAAATGCTTTTTAGGGGGTGAAGTTTTCCTTTAAGCAAAAGGAAGTCGTGTGTTTTTCTCTCTAGGAGCCAGCAGAGGCAATGGCTGCAGAGGGCACACACAGGTGACACGCACACTATTCACAAACCTGTGCCGACATGGTTGTTCGTGTCAAAGGCTGGCTTCCCCTGGGGCTGATTGTGATGGAGAGATTTTCATGCAGGATGTTTTCTGTGGGAGCTGTAGAAGGCGGCTGAGGACCTGCGCAGAGGGAGAACATGAATCTGCCACAGAGAAGTGCTTGTGGCATGGCTTTTAGAGATAACCAGGAGGGCTAAGGCTTTATATCACCACTGATGGGCTGACCTGAGAAGAGCCTGTGCCATTGGCTGTGGTAGCTCTCCTTAGTGAGGGGCAGTGCTGCAGAGAAACCCACCGATGTCGTCAGCCACCGACAGGCCCGGTGGCTGAGGTGATGAGCAATTCATCTCTGGGCAGGAGTAGGGATCCAGACAACACTCTTTTTTTTTTTTTTTAAATATTTTATATTTTATTATTTTTAGGAAGACACACAGTTTTACCAGAAACAATGATTTTTCTCACATAGTAGAAAAAAGGCCTTTAAAAAAATCTGCTGTCCCAGATGAAAAGTCTACCCAGCGAGCACTGGGCCAGTTCTGAGAGGAGGAACCAGTGTGGTGGAAGTTACCTACAGGAAGTTCAGTGCAGAGGTCGGCACAAGTCTAGCTCAGTTCTGTGAGGCTCCAGGTCCTCTGACTAGGATGCAGGCTGGCTCACTCCCCAGGTGGCTGCATTTGCTTACAGAACTCATCAAACTGCGGCTGCTCCAGCTCCAGCAGGACTCTGCTGAGAGCATAGATCTCTGCTCTTCGTCTTTGCTTCAGCTCCTGCTGGGCAGATTTCTGCTTAGCCTTCTCCACTCTGAAGACAGGTTCTTTAACTTTGGATTTTTCTTTCCGGTCAGGTGGATCCATGACTTGGATTCTGAATGCTTCTTGGTTGGCTCTGACCCGGCCTCTGGCTCCTGGCCTCTGTCAAGTCACAGACCAGCCCCCACGAGGGGTTCACCCTCGCCTTCCCCTTCCTCAGGACCAGAGCACCCAGCCCCGCTGCCTTTGAACTGGGCAGGCCGCGCCCCATTCCACACACTTAAAAAATGCGTCTCCAGGTTTAGCAGGCATATAAGTCCCCAGGAGAGTCTTGTTAAAATGAGGGTTCCGAACAGTCAGTGAACCTGCTGTGGACCCAGGCACTCTGTATGCCAATAAGCTCCCTGGGGATGTCAGTCTGTGGACCACACTCTGATTGGCTCTAAGTCAACTTGTCCCTCAAGTGAGAGCCATCGGAACATGTGGGTCATAGACTATGTCCCTCCTTCACTGGGTGAGGCATCTGTGACTTGCCAGATCCCTTACAGCAGTCTTAACATCCTTGTTCCTCAGGCTGTAGATGATGGGGTTCAGCATGGGGGTCAGAAGTCCATAGAAGAGGGAGATGAGCTTGTCTGCAAGGTCCTGCTTGTCTGCCCCCAGTGGGTCCTTGGACTTGGGCTTCCCATACATGAAGAGGATGGTCCCATAGAAAATGATCACCACAGTGAGGTGGGCAGAGCAGGTGGAGAAGGCCTTCCTCCTCCCCTCAGCAGAGGGGATCCTCAGGATAGTGGTGAGTATGAAGATATAGGAGACAAAGATGAACAGAACTGGGACCCCCAGGAAGATCACATTGGCCACACCCATGCTAATCACATTGATAGAGATGTCAGCACAGGCCAGTTTCAGGACAGCCAGGATCTCACAGATGAAGTGATTAATGACATTGTCCCCACAGAAAGGCAACTGTACTGCCAAGGATATCTGCACCAAGGAGTTGGCACCACCAGCCACCCAGGAGCTGATGGCCATGGGCACATAGGCAGCCTTGCTCATGACCACTGGGTACCTAAGGGGGTTGCAGATGGCCACATAACGATCAAATGCCATCATGCCCAGGAGCACACACTCCGTGGCTCCCATGGCAAAGGAGAGAAACATCTGCACTGCACAGCCTGAGAAAGAGATTGTTTTTCTGGGAGTGAGGAAACCATCCAGGACCAGGGGGACTGAGGAGGTGGTGTAGCAGATGTCCAGGAAGGAGAGGTTCCCCAGGAAGAAGTACATGGGTGTGTGCAGGTGGGAGTCAAGGATGGTCACTAGGATGAGGACCCCGTTGCCCAGCAGTATCACCAGATACATGGACAGGATAAGCACAAAGAATGTCTTCTCCAGTTTGGGATGGGCGGAGAGGCCCAGCAGGACAAATTCTGTCACAGTAGACTGGTTGGATACTTCCATTTCAAACTCTCTCTTTCATCCTGAGGAATACTGAAGGCTAATGATTTGACTTGCTGGATTTAATACACAATGCTTTTAATAGCGTCCAGAGACTAGCCTCTGAAGTAGGTATGGTGGTGTAGACCTTTAATCCCAGCACTCAGGAGGCTGAGGTAGGACGGCAAGTTTGAAGCCAGCCCGGACAACAGAGTCAGGGCTCGTCCCAAACCAAAACAAAAACTTACCCTCTGAGATTCAACTGTAAAACCACGTTATCTAAAAGCCAATCTGTGTGGCAGACCTGAAAAAAAGAATTCAATTTAATGATGTAAATGACAAATTTCACTACAAGCTAAAGTAGTGTCATATGTTGATGTACAGTGTTTCCGGCACTTTATAGGAAAGCAGGACCCTGTGAGTAATTCTATGTGCCACATAGTTGGAGGTCTTGGTGTAGCCTTGGACTATCACAGCTCAGCGACCCTGGCCATTACACAGCTTATCGACTAGTCTTCTGAGCCTGGGTCTTTATCACCCACTTATGTAATTTTAATTCCTACATTGAGAATGTACTTGTTTAAGAACATAAAGTTTCCTACCTTAATGGTTTTATTTCTTGGTGTGTGTGTGTGTGTGTGTGTGTGTGTGTGTGTGTGTGTGCATGTGGTTGCCCGTGTACATATACCACGTGCCACAGAGGCCAGAAGAGAGCATTGGCTCTGTTGGAACTGGAGTTACAGGCAGTTGGGAGCTTCCTGATATGGGTGCTGGGAACCAAACCCAGGTTCCCGGGAAAGCAATATGCGCTCCTAACCATCCAGTCTGCTCTCCAGCTCATTAACCTCTTAGTCAGGGTTTGGCTTCTACTTCATTCTCTTGTAAATTTAGTCACTTTATCTGACCACGATTATCTGTTCTGCATTTGTGACTTTCTGAAACTTCCAACACAGAGTCCCCACCCTCGTCTCCAGAAATGCAGTCTGGAGAGAAGGAGTCTCGTGTGTCCCCCATGACCATGCCTACCTGAACCTTGTCTGCTCTGAAATGTGGCTGGAGATAAAGAATCTTACCTGATGGTTGGGGCCTTCTCAAAATTCACATTTCCGGCTTTAGAAAGGTGGGGCCTTGAGTCACACTCACATCAAAACTGGGGAGAAAAAGCTCTGGCAGGCCTTCCCAGAGCATTTGGAGGTTTGCAGGCACATCCGTGTGCAAAGCTGTTCTGCCTCTGGGGGCCAGCGCCTGGGCCACAGACTGTCACAACCCTGCTTCCAAAGAGGTTCGGAGCACCAAATGTCATAAGACCCTGCACAGGATAGACAAAGGGACCTGTAAGCTGGCTGCCTCGGGCTGCCTGGTACTGGTTATACACACTGATTTCAAGCATGGTACATGCCTGTAAACGGCACTTGAGAGATGGAGGCGAGAAGACAGCTACAAGTTCAAAGCCAGCCTGCTCTACACAGAGGGTTCCAGGGGCAAGGCTAGTAAGACCCTGTCTCAAAAAGGCTAACCAACTAACTAAATAAATAAATACATTTCTAAAAACTGATGTTAATGTGGTACATACAGACAGTAGAATTTCATTCAGTCATAAAGGAAAATGAAATTTTCAGGAAAATTGATTAGTGGACGTACATTATTTTAAGCATGGTAGCCTAGGCTTAGAGGTAAATGCCATAAGTTCCCTCTCATATTTGAATACAGGCCTCTGATTGTTAAATATTCATGTCCAGCTGAGAGCAAGCAAGGGGAAGGGCCAGGGAGCCAGAAAGGGGCCCCTGCAACTTGGGGGAGGGTGCTTTAAGGGAAGAGGCCTGGGGATAATGATAGAACAAAGTGGAAGTGGGGAGAGTGTAAGGGTACAGCGTGGGAAAGGAGGCAGGGAGATGAGTGGGAAATGGCGGGGGGGGGGGGGGGGGGGGCAACCAAAATGGGATGTGTATTCAAAGATCCACATGGAAATCTATTACTTTATTGCTAATTTAAAAAACAAGAAATTAGAATAAAACTGAAAAACTTAAAAACAAAACAGAAAAAACCCACATGTTTGCAGGAGGGTGTGGTGGCACAAGTCTATAATTCTAGGGGATCGAGCAGGCAGAAGGATCATGAGTTCAAGGCCAGGCCAGGTTGCAGAATGAGGCCTGCTCTCAACAAACCAAAACCAGCTCAGCTTGGTGGCATATGCTTGTCATCCCCACACTTGGGATTTCTGTTAGTTTGAGGCCAGCCTAGTCTACATAGTGAGTTCCAAAAGAGCCAGGGCTATGTAGAGAGACCCTGTTTCGAAAAAACCACCACCACCAATTAAAAAAGAAAAACAAAACAAACAAACAAACAAAAAACACAAGAGAAAACAAAGCAGGCAAGCTCACCCAATAAAAACAACAAAACTCTTTTTAAAAATGTTTTTATTTTATAATTAATTTTACATATCATCCACAGATTCCCCTGTCCTTCCTCCTCCCACCCCCCAGTCTTCCACCCCAATCTGCCCCCCATTCCCACTTTCTCCAAGGCAAGGTCTCCCCTGGGGAGTCAGCCCAGCCTGGTAGATTCACCTGAGGCAGGTCCAGTCCCCTCCTCCCTACACCAAGGCTGAGCAAAGTGTCTCAGCATAGGCCCTAGGTTCCAAAAAGCCAGCTCATACACCAAGGACAGGTCCTGGTCTCACTGCTTGGGGGTCCTCCTAAACAGTTCAAGCTAATCAACTGTCTCGCTTATCCAGAGGGCCTGGTCCAGTTCCATGGGGGCTCCTCAGCTATTTTTTTTTTAATGCCGAATGCCATTTATTGAAGGAGGGAGGAGGTTCTAAATACAGGCTTACAGCACAATGGGAGAACCCTGGAGGGCAGAAGTTCGCTACGATGTTTTACAATCTTGTATCTAAGCTGTTAGTTTCTGTACTTCCATTACAGGTCATCTATGGCAGTCTGTTTCTATTTTGTTTGCTTGTTTTGTTTTTTTAAATAAAAGTTCCTAGCTAAGCATGGTGGTACATACCTGTAATCTCACCATTCAGGAGGCCAAGGCTGGGTCACAAGTTTGAAGACAGCCTGGGCTACATACATGGTGAGAACGTGTCTAAAAAAAAGCATACACAGCCGGGCATGCGTGGTGTGCACCTTTAGTCCTAGCACTTGGGAGGCAGAGTTAGGAAGATCTCTGAGTTTGAGACCAGCCTGGTCCACAGAGCGAGTTCCAGGACAGACAGGGCTACACAGAGACATCTTGTCTAACACAAACAAACAAACAACCCCACACACTGACAGATACCAGCCCTAAGAATGTCTCCAATCTGTTTCAGCTCCTCTCAGTTCAGAGGTCAGGAGAGGTTTGAGGTTAGCATGTGGTCCTGAGGATGGTGGTTTTTTTCCTAGTTGGTCATGATAGTGTTCAGAATCTCAGAATATCGGCGGTTTGGGGACAAGGGACGGTATCCAAAGAAGAATTCCCTTTAGTATCAGAAAGTAAAATTTCCTGAGACTGTATCAACCTCAGCACTGAAGCCTCCTTCAGAGGGGCCTTCTCCTTGCTGAGTGGTTTTGCAATCTTGCTCAAATGTCTGAGGGGTGGGTTGCAGCCATGTGGTCAGGTAGTCAGAGTTCTTTGGGGACACGAACTACGCCCTGCTCTAACTTCTTCCTTTCACTGGCCCT